ATCTTTTTCAAAATGTGCTATTTTTGTGCTAAAAAAATCCTCGAATATCAAGCATTTCTTGCATTTATGGATGGATTTTGTTCAAACTTATAACACACGTTAGACATTGCAGGTTCCTGATGCATGTCATTTTATTTTCAGATTGGATTCAAAATAGCTGACTGGCGGCCATTTTGTTTTAATGATTGGGCTTCTAGAGCCATACTTTAAATACTTTGACTGATTATATTCAAATTTTATATATTCGTTATACATCATGTTATATATATATATACCGGGGTACATGTATTCAAAATGGCTGATTTTGAATGCTGTTCCAGAGCAATATCTCTCAATATGGACAAGTACTTGTTTGAGGATCAGATACAAATGTCAATCATTTTAATGTTAAAAAAATCATATTCCTGACATGGTTATATTCCAGCTATATTACTATAAACATAACTATATATCTCAAATTTGATAACTAACGGGGACTGTGCCATGCATGGCTTGTTTGATTATTGTATTGTAGCTCTCTCAAATAAATCAATCAAATTAGTTAATTATTGGTGGTGATATATTAACTATTTGCTGTTCTTCTGTAGACGCAGCTCAAAAAGCTTTAGAAGACAGAGAGAATGGACTTGATGTAGATGTACCTGAAATTGCAATTCGCATGGATGGGGGTTGTAGTGATGATCTGCGTTTATGTAGAGGTACTACCATTGATCAGCAGGAAGAGGATTTCATGCCGAGACTAGAGCGAGCCGTTAGTGAAACATTCAAGAAATTTGGTGCAGCAACAGTGAGAGTTGTCCGTCCTGGAGATCCAGAATATGAAGATGCTTTGATAAATACTATTGGAAAAGGGCAACGCAACCACATGCATCCTGATCCAGAGCTTTGTCCTTGTTGTCGAGAGCAAGAAGATGCATCAGTTTTTAGAAAAAGGTTGATAAAACAAATTGAAAAGGAAATTGAAGATCTAGAACAGGAAATTTTATCACAAAATGCAAAGAGGCTAGATGGAGAAAAGGTTGACGAAGATGCATTGGATAAAAAGAAAAAGGATCTGAAAATGAAGAGAGAGCAGAGTGATAAATTCAAGAATAAATATGGAAAGGATATTTCAAAAGGTCAGAATTTGAAAACATCAGAGAACAGCAAAGACAAAGATGATGAGGAAATAGAGAAGGAGATGCTAAGAAGACTTCTAATGGAAAGGACATCATTATCGTCATCATCATATCCTACAAAACTTCCCACTCTTATATTTCAATCAAAAACAAAAATTCCAGAAAACTATTTTACTAGTAAAGGTTCAACTATGCAAGCGAATAAGAAGCCTGGAGTAGATGAAAAAAGCAAAGTAGAGCCTGAAGTAGTTAAAAAAAGCAAAGTACGTGTAGAGCCAGAAGTAAATGAAAACAAAAAAGTGGAACCTGGAGTTGATGAAAACAACAAAGAGGAGACTGGAGTAAATGAAAACAATGAAGTAGAGACTGATGATCCTGTAGCTGGACGAGTCAAAGAGATTGTGGATAGTGTAGCCACACGGGGCAAAACATCTAACCTCAAAGGGAAAGCTATTAAAAATCTGGTTGTACAACGTTCAAGCGGGGTGCTTTCAGATAAATCAGGGGAGGGTATATTTACCGACTCAAACTGGAGGGAAAAATTGGAAGCTACCGGTTCACATCTAAAGCATGATGGCTCATTCGAACCAATTCGGGTGGAGGCTCGCGATTTCGCCAAATGGTTCGATAAGGAAGTCCAACGGAGTGAAGAGGAAATAAACAGTCGTCCTTACCTGGTCTGTGTGTTCACTGAAGATGAAGAGAAAAATGGCACCATGAATGACGTTATGAAACAACTGCACAAACTAAAAGAGGAGGCACAAAGGACAGGTACTGAACAGTTTGTGCCTAATGCTGATCCTCCCATAATGCATTGCTACTCATCCTATCCTATTCCTGCTTTGGTGTGTAGTGGCAGTTTTCTATTAGTTGGTGGATAATAATAACTGGGCTTGCTTCACTTCAATAATCATTCACCTGCTCACCTCTGCTACATGTACGTTATATAGAACCAAAACACACTCACTTGTAATGCACCTAGAAATGGCATTTGCGAACCAGATTCATTAATTATATGTGTACAATGTATAGTGGCATGCTTTAAACCTCTATGCAAATATATGTACTGAAGTTACTCAAGATTATACACCACATATCTTAAGACACAGTTATATAACAAATCTAAGATTTTAGTTGCATGTTATTACAGTTTGTACATTTCGTTTTAAATTGAATGTACTTCTCAATATATAGATTCCTTTGCTGGAACCCATCTGTAATCTGTAGAACAGTGAGTATAATGGGTAGAGGCCTAGTAAATAAGTTCAAGAGATATATTTTATTTCATTTAAAATAATGAAGTCATTGGTGTAGGGTTATCATTGTTCATTCAGGATTATGTGATGCTCATTGTTAAATTTTAGCCAAGTGAAGAAAATGTGTGTGTGTGAGGGGGGTGCAGTATTTGTACATAATGACATTTCATCAATTTATCGTTATCATGCTTCAGTTTTTATTCATAGTTTATTACATGTTATTTAAATTATGCCTTAAAAATACTGTGGGATAGACCAAGCCTTCCACTGATTCCACCAGATTAGCAATCTAAGTAAACATTAGATATCCACATCAGTCCACCAGATATCAGATCACTTGAAATGCACAGATTGATTGAAAACCACATACATTTGACAAATTTTGACAAAAAATATTGTCACTAAAATATACCGGTATGCTAAAATGTATACCGGTACATCCAAAATGCATGCGCAGCATTCTACCTTAAAGATCTCTTAAAGTACATGATATACGAGTACAAAATAACACATCAAACGCAAGTGGCAGTCTTTGTGTGATGACTTTCATCCAATAACTATTTTGTCTCATTGGCTCAACAATACTTAATTGTAATTGTTTCCATGTCTTATTGCAATGTCAGGAAACGGAAAAATTCATTGTCCAAACCTTGACTGATTATTGCCATTGATGGTGTACTTTGAGACATTCTGAATCAGTCTGCCACGTGTGGCATGTAACTCCCAAATTCATGGGATTTTATGTTTTTTTGCCACATTAGATTGGCTCTTTTGAGTAGAATCCTGTGAAGGTATGGCACTTTTCATTGAATGTTCACTATGAGAAGTGTGTGGATGCAATCAGTAGTAAAATTCTTTCAAAAAGATCCAAATAAAATATAGAAAACAAAGCAAAATAAATGTTCTCTAGCTAAGTGAGGTCATAATCTAATAATGTTTTTAAGTGACACTCAAGATTTTAATTGTTCAGCAAACTCAAATACATGTTTTAATATTCAAATTAACCTGATTAGGCACTTTCAGTCATTTCTTGCATGTCAATTAAAGCAATCATATGTTTGGCTATGTCTGCTTGTTATATAGGCTGGTCCAGATATCTTGTTTTTGTTTGGCAGCTTGAATGAGTAAAGCCCTATTCACTTGCTGTGTTGTGTTGTGTAATACATTTACTTGTGTGAAAAAAGAAGAAAAGTTATTTTACAGTTCATATTTTTTCGTACTAGGTGGCCTCAGCACAGACGGTGTGTCCAAGCTCATAGAAAGTGGAGTAAAAATCTGTGGGCCAAGAATGAAAGGTAATGTGCCACCAGATGAAACTGACGAGGAGTTGAATGCAATGATGAGTAAACGTGCGGAAATTAGAAAGATTGAAGAAGAAATGAGACGAGAGGACGAAGAGATTGAAAGGAGAAGGGCAGGTGGTGCTAAAAAAGATACTGGTGCTGACACGACTACTGTTAACAACAGTAAATTGAAAAAGTGTTCTGGTTGTGGTACTGTTGAAGCTTACTTGAAAAACTACAAGAAGTGCCAAAAGTAAGGAAGATAGTAGTTTCATTAACAAATAGAATATAATTATTACCGGTAGATAATATATTATCATATTACTAATTTTTTTGTCTGTGTCCACATCAACTTTTTCTATTTTCGACTTCTTCCTGAAAAGTACAAATCCGATTTGTTTGAAAAAATGTATATATTTACCTCGGGTAGCCCCTCTCTCAGATTGACTCATTTCATGCAGATATCCATTCTCTAATTGTGATGAATATTTTTGCTGAAAGGGATATTTTCAACTTTTTCTTGAAAAGTCTGATTGTTTTGATATTTATTATATAGTTACCTCAGGTGAACCTCGCTCAGATTTTGTCATTTCATGGTGATATTCTCCTCTTATTTTGAAAAAAGTGATTGTGGTCTCCAATTGCTTTGATATTTAATATATACCGGTACCTCTGGTGAACTTCTCTTTAATAATTCATTTCATTAATTGTTCTCTAGTTTGTTCATTTCATGTCAATATCTTCAAATTGCTAACTTTTCAACTTCTTAAAAATGTTTATTCCAAGTGCTTTGATATTTTATATGTAAGCACTTTAGTTAAATTTATTCATTTTGTGACAATATCTTCAACGCTTTTGTTAGGACATCTTTGAAAATGGCTATTCCAATTGCTTTGATATTTTATATGATTGCGCTTTGGGTCAGATATGTTCCTTATCTGACGATACCCATATTCTCTAATTCTAGTTAATATTCCTGTCAATTTTAGTAAAAATGCTATTTTCCTATTAAAAACGGCTTGGATTTGGGTTCATCTTGCAGATTTGTTGATTTTCTTTTTGATAATTTCTGATGTCTTTTTGAAAACCACCAATCTGGTTGTTCTGATATTTTATATGTTAGGTGCCCTTAATGGATCATTTCCAGATTGATATGATTCCTTCGTCTATCAAATTAATTCATTTAGTGTTGATAACTAAAACTTCCACATTGTAGTGAATACCGATATTCTTGTTATTTTCAAGATGGCTAGACTGATTGATTTTTCTTTCTCATTATGCATCTGAAACAGCGGAGCTATATCAGCCAAAAAGCTTCTCATTTTAATGCTGATAAAGACAATTGGCTCATTTTGCATAACAACTGTGTACAGTAATTTTGAGTCAAGAAAAATACAAATTACCAGTAACTTTGTATTGGAATGTCACCAAGTTTGATTATGGAACTAATTCCAACACTCCTATCATTCGTAAATCTAGTTTATAGATCTTCATGACTCTATGATATGAATTACATTATAGATGCAGAGAGCAAAATGTGAAGCAACCAAGATACTATTGTAGTCGGATTTGCCAAGGTGAGTATTTAAGTTTTACTCTACAGATAAGATATTGTACCTTTAATATATTTCAATAACAGTTTAGGATTTTTGGGTTCTGAAGCAGGCTTGACTTGTAATCATTTAATGGACGTGTATTACGTGTATATAAAGCCATTTGTTATGAAAAAAAGATCTGTTTAGAAGCATTAGTGGATGTGACAGCAAGCATAATCTTTGTTTAACATTTAAACCTCCCCCCTACTTCTCTAAACAAAAATAGGACAGTGTTAAAAAGAAGTCACTGCACTGTGCACAGTAACTGATATCACCTTGGACACTCCCACCCCACCCCCTTAAACAAATATATTGTTTACTGTGCTGATATTTTTATAATCCATGGCCTCTTTAATTCTGTGATTTAAAATGTGTGGACATTTTGGTTTTTATTGTACTGGTTGCAGTTTATGTGTACCCTATAAAACATGTATTAACAGAGACCCCCACTATCTTCTTCATATAACAGTAAAAGACTGGACTGATCGTCATAAGAAAGAACACAAGCTTTGGATTAAATCTGGAGGAAACCCAATGTAAAAAGACAACACATTCCTACCCACGAGAAAATTATTATATATATGGTGCTACATATTGATATTTGATATTTTTTTATTAGACGCATAAAATCCTTAGGAAAGGATAAAAAGGGTCTTACAGAAAGAAATTTAAAAAAAACTACAATCTAAAAAATAAAACAAAAAATAAAAACTTTTCTAAAAAAAAATAAAACAAGTCTATGATACTACATTTGTATATAGACTTGTATGATACTATAACTATGCACACGGATAAATATTATTTCTTTAACAGTATTCAACTTTTTTTGTGTGTTCATATAAATATCCAGCAATGCTATTTAGATCATTGCAAACAGTTTTTTTTTTAGCATGTTTATGTTATGCTAGGTGTTATTATTGATTGTGAAATTCAACAGTAAAAGTATACAGATCCATGATTGGAAATTACTTACCACCATCTTTGTGGATTTGTAACTACATCCTTATTTTGTATGCTCCTTGGTTGAAATATTAAGACAACTTTACAGTATGTAAATGTTTTGTTTTTGTATTATCTCGAGGTTGGAAATTTCCTCCAGCTTACTATTGAATATAACCAATTTTATTAAGGTACTACACTGACTTTACTCCAATGCAGTGTTATGTGTAGACTGGCGCACGGGGCGATAATTTT